AATTAAAGAGCTGTGTGGGCAACGTGGAGCTGTTACGAGAGACTTCCTTGTGGGAGAGGAAGGGTCTCCACACATGGGTTGTGAGGGCATCAGTAACAAGGCTCCTGAAGGGAAGCAGGCTGGGTTCTGATGGAATTGGTTATTTAAGGCAGTAATTCTTCATGAGTTCGTAAAACAAAGCTCTGCCAGCATTCCAGGTGCTGCAGGTTTCCGTAGGTGTGTCTTCTGCTGTGGGTAAATCACCACCTTTTCCCCCTTGCCAGCCTGGAGGAGGCATTTGCTGATCCTTTTGCTGCTTCTGATGCTCTTCATCCTCCAGCTGCCCCGCGTGCCCCCCAGGTCCCACCGACCCCGCTCCATGCTGATGTTCCACGTCATGCAGCAAAGTCCCAAGGAGGCTTTCATGCTTCCCACGAGGATAAACCATTACTGGCCCTCTGACTGAGTTCTTTCTCTCTTGGCAGACCTGGAGAACTTCAAGACCAGGACGAGGAGCACGGTGTCCGTGCGCCAGGGCCAGGGCATGGTGCTGCTGTGCGGGCCCCCGCCCCACTCGGGAGGTAAAGCACTTTCCTTCTCCTTCCTATCAGGGGTGTTTGCAAACTTCTGCTCTGCGTTGTTTTGTGTGCTCTAGTGCATTTATTCATGTGCTGTTACAACTTTTGCTGCGCTTAAAATCTCAGGCACGGTTTGCCCTCGTTGGAGGGGTTTAAAAAGCTCTTGGGGGCTTGGTTTAGTGGTAGGTTTGGCAGGGCTGGGTTAATGGTTGGACTCAAGTGATCTTAAAGGTGTAAATGATTCCATGATTCTGTGTAGCAAGTGCTCTGGTGCTGTTTGCCTCACAGAATGTGCTACAAACGTTTAGAAAATTCAGGCCAATTCTTTCGGCTTAGCACAAATCCCTTTTAAATGTGCCAGTCCGGTGTTTGTGGGGGATGTCCTGAACACGTGTGCTGTACTGTGACATTTATAGAGGAAAAAATGTGTTGGAGGGGGAGTCATTCCATCATCAGCTCCTGCAGGATGCCATCTCAGGCGTGGCCAGTGTGTGTGCCCGACAGGCACCACGTGTTGTGCCAGCAACCACCACGAGCAACAACCAGCCCTCGCAGCTGCCTCTTCCGTCAGGGGGGTCGTTTGTTCCATCAAAAAAAGTGGTCATCATTCCATGGGTCTGTGTCCCTTTTTAAAGAAATTTGCCATCCTGCTTTGAAATCTGTCTGTGCTCATCAGCAGAGCAGGATGGAGATTGCCCAGTGGACCATTTGCTGTTGGGCTGAGCTGATTGCTCAGACAGGAGGGGACAGGGGCTTAAGGAGCTGCTTTGCTCACATCTGACCAGCTGACAGACCTACCCATGGATCCTGTTCAGCCAGGGCCCTTTCCCAGTGAGCTCCTGGGGACACCCATGGCCATGTGGTGCTGCATCCCATTTCTCCACAGGCAGGGTGGCTCCTGTGTCCTAGAGGGACAACACAGAGATGAGGCAGGATTTGTGCACGTTTGCCTTTGTCTCTGCAGTTGCTGAGAGGTTTCTGTTGTGCCGTGAGAAATCTTTGCAGCCTGAGCACCTTGTGTGGGGATGTGGTGGCTGGTGATGGTGTGAGCAGCCAGGAGGGAATTGTTGATCGGGTGATTCAGGAGAAAGTTCTGGGCTGGGTTTATTTCCTGATGACACAACATGAATTCCAGAAAGGTGCTGGTATTATTTCCAGTTGGGGCTCAGTATGTGGGCATGTCTTGCACTGACCAGGAGGTGAGGGCATTTGTGGTGCTCAGAGAGGCAGAAAACTCGAGGGTGATTATTTCCCTCAGTCATTTGGGTGAGAGATGACTTCCCACATGACCACCATTCATGACCTGCTCTGTTGCAGCTAGCAAGTTATCTCTAATTGTAGCCAGATCCACAATTAGTCTAAACTGATGCTATTAAGTTTTGTCACTGAGCTGGGCTGGAGTTGTGCCAGTTGTTGTTTTTTTGGTTTGCACAGAAAGTATTTCATGGAAACTCAAACCAGGTCCGGTTAATTCAAACCAAGACCCTTGTTCTGTGGGAATTTGTCTGCTCTGTGGCAATATTTCCTTTTATTTTTCCTTCCTGCTGAGGTTAGAAACGAGGATGGGTTTTAAAAGTCACAGCTGCTCATCTGCCAGTGTAACCAGAGCTCTTGGGTCTGTGCAGTCACTGCACAATTACCACAAGCAGCCCCTGTTCTCTCTCTGGGCACAGGGAGGTTCATCAGAGAGTATCAGGTGTCCCTGGAAGCAGCTGCTGATCGGAAAACCGCCGTGTTCCATGGGCAGCTCCATCCCCTGGGGCCCCGGCAGTGTTTGCAAAGCAGAGCTGTAGAGATCAGTTCCTTCCAGTCCCCTGATATAACATTGCAAGTATTTCATGTTGTAGTGCAACAGGAAAAAAAAAAAAAAACTTTCAGCCCGGGGAGTGAAAAATAATCCCTCTCGTTGAAAGGGCGAGTTAAGATAGACAAAATGCAATTACTTATTTCAGAACTTGATTAGGGCAGCAGCCTGACTTCATCATCCTTGCAGAAAGGGCCTGCTGATGTTAATGACCAATGCTGAAGCATAGGACTGTCTGGGGAAAAAAAAAAAAACAAACAACACTTTTGTAATATTATTGTTATTTTTTACTGTAGTTTCATGCTTGCATTGAAAATGAAATCTTAAAAAAATATTTTAAAAAGCAAACTGGTTCAGTGTGAGAATTGCTGTTGCTTCACTGGTGAGAGTGTTCACTGGAATAGTAGAAACCTGGAAAAAAAAACCATCCTGGCTGAGCACAAAGCTGAGGCTATTCTTTTGGGTGTCAGGATTTGTGTGTGATGGGAGAAACTTCCAAAGTGTCTGAGGAGGGCCAGGATCTCCCATTTTGAGGTGGGTCAAGTGACAATGCTTAGAGCCCCCCTGGGGAAATTTGGTTGAAAACAAGTAGTAAATGAGAAGGGAATAACTTCCTCTCATCCCTTGGTTGCCTTGGTCTTAAAAAAATTGTGGATTTTATTAAAAAGATGCTACATCCAGACCTTGAACCTTTCCACTGCAGCTCACCATAAGACTTTGCTGCCTGGAAATACTCCTTTCTAAGGAGCTGGCAGCTAAAAGTGAAGTTCTGTTGCCCTACATGCAGTAGTTGTTGAGGGTTCTTTTGTGCTTTTAATTCTTTAATGATGCCCAAAAAAGAGCGTCCTATTGTTCAAATGTTACAAGAAATTCATCCTGAGAACGACTCTAAATGATGAACAAGTATTTTCCTCAGCAGGGACAAACAGGCTGCATGTGGCTTGCACAGAACAATTTGGGCATCTCCGTCTATTGTCCTAATTTTTAGTGTAATATGAGTTGGAGATTCAGCATCTGAATCTCTGCTTCCCTCCCAGTCCCCCAAGTTAGAAGTTTCAGTTCTTTTCCTTTCCTTTTTTTTTTTTTTTTTTTGCCTTTGTTGCACTAAAGGACTTGCAGAAACCTACCTGGGCTGGTGCCGTTTTTTCTGAGATAATTACCCTGCATGGAAAGGGTGTTCCCTCATTACTTCCACTGTTCCTTTAATCAAAAGCCTGATGATGGTTGTGTGTCAACCATTCTACCTGCGAAGCTCAACAGAAGAAATAATTTGAGAGTAAATATTGCTCTGGGAACGTGGAACTGGGGGCCTGTGTAACAAAAAAACAGGTTTCTTGTTGAGATAAACTTGATTGAAACAAACAAACAAACAAAAAAGCTCAGGGAAAACCAAAGCAAACACTCCCTTGTGTTTCTCAGGGCTCTGAATTGTGTTCCAAAGGGGAGATAGGCCTGGGAAAAGTATTTGGAGGTCACTGTCCTTTTTTAACTTTTATCTCCAAATATTAAGACAAAATATTCTTTTGTGCCAAATAGTTCTTTTCATTGAAGTTTGTGGGAACTGAGTAATTTAGCTGCCACTTTTACTAGATTTATTTGATAGCCAGGGCAGGGTTGTTAATATTTTAACAACTGCAGTTTTCAAATTCCTCCTAACATCCCTGGCATTTCGTTGTGAGTCTGGAGACTAAAAAAAAAAAAATGCAGTCCTGGAAAGTATTTTCTTCCCACTTGACAGGCTGGTAGCACACCCATCCTCGTGCAGAAACAAATGAGTCTGTAAATCCTTCCCCCTCCCTTCTTTGGGAAGATAAATGAACTTGTCTTGTAGGATTTCTTTCGCTCCCCCCCCACACCCTGCGGATTCCTCTTGGTTCATCTTTGGAAGATCTATACACGATGTTCTCACGACATTTGCCTTCCAGCCCTCGTGGGAAAACCCTATGGAGATGGAGATCTGAGAGTGCTGGGAGAAACGGTGAATGTACACAGAGAACTGGCAAAAATGAGCTCTCAGTTACTTGATTATTTGAGTTCTCTTTGCATTCCCCAGAGGTGTGTCCTGCTCTGGGATCTCTCTGTCCTACCACCACTCCCCCCATCTGGAGCATATTTATTCTCACTCCTAGTTTATCTCCGTAATCTGGGCAAGGAATAAATCAGCTGATTGCTTTTTTTTTTTTAGATAACAAAGTGCTTAGATGTGCAGATGGAAACATGCTGATACTTTTACAAGACGTGTCTTCTCCTCCCTACTTGTGAAGCTCCTGGTGACCCTGGGAGTGAAGCTCCCCAGCATGATTTCTCTCCCTGAACCTCAGTTCCCTGCACACCTTGCTGTGGAGTCAGACAACCTTCCTGGGCATCTTGGAGCTGTGTCTCCTTGAAGGGAGCAAAGGCAGGATTTAAGGAAGATCAGTTTGCTGTCTCTCTGCAGAGCCCATGTTCTCAATGCACTTGGGAAATTCCATCTTCCCAAAGAGGAGGAGATTCATTAAAGCTCAGTTGTTCCCATAACTCTTTCCTATCTGATGCCATTACTCCTGTTGGAAACACAGCCATGGAGTCCTTGTCTGTGAGCTGAAATGTTGACAGAGAATTATTCTCACATCTTTTCACCTAATGGATGTGTTCAGGTTTTCTCATTCTCTTCTACCTTTTTTTTCCCCCCTCTTGATATCTGGGAGAACTTTTAGTTCTGTTGCACAGCTTAATCAAGTAGAACTAACTAAATTTTAGCATTTGACAGCAGAGATGGCAATTCTGATTCCATCTCAATCTCAGCCTTTCATGCTGTATGGTAGGTAGTGAAGTGTGGACACCAGACATGTTTTCAGAAAGCACTTTACTGATTACAGTGACGCCGAAACCACTTCTGGGCTCTGCAGAGAAATGAGCAGTGTGTGTTTACTTGTCTGGTCACTTTTTCACTGCTTTCATTATTATTTCTTTTCAAGTGATGATGGACTCTTCATGGGCTGGAAACAGTGGGAATGTTTTGGCTCTGAGTGTGGCTGATGGCCTTCAGTGTGATGAATGGTTTGGGGGGGTTGCCTTGGAAAGAATCTCTCACCCAAATCACATCTCATATTCCCTGGTGTTTACACAATGCAAGGACGAGGGGAGAGGAACCTGGGAAGGCTAATTGCAGCAGTGCAGAAGGAAAAAGGCAATTATTAGGCATTTTTGCACCATCAGA